ACTTAACAGAGCCAATAGGGATTTGAGCCTCACTATTTAATTATCTGAACACTTCGTGTTAGATGATCTATAACTCTAATGGTTGACATTCCAGAGTCTAGTTTTTCAAGCCGTTTAACCTACTCCCTATTAGGAAACATTAATTCAAGCCATTATTATTATTATTATTATCATAACCAATACGCCTGTCATCACATTATCAATTTGTAACTCTTATTCCGCTGTTATTACTGACTCATGAATCACCTTGATTAATATAATCATTTCATATATGCATACAAATATCACTGTACATTTGAGTAGAGCCCAATGAAGATCTAACTGAATATAATCGTTTTGCTTATATATGTGGTTCTTATTTTAAACTGGTCAAAGGTTCATATGATTTTAATGTCCTTGATCATATTTTAGGGCTGATATTTTAAAAAGAAATATAGTGAACTGTCGCCATCTGTCTCCATGTGAGCCAGTATAATTGAATCAAATAAACCATCGTTTCAAAGATGATATTATGGTTAAGACGATTGGCAACGTTTTTAATGTTTACCTTGAAATGTCCGTTCTGTTAAATATTGGAGTGTAATTTTCATTAGAAATATGAGTCATTAAATAATAAGTAGAGGCCAACGCGTTCTTTAACAGGCCTGAATGTTCTGGATTTGTTCTCAGATGTAATAGTAAATGCGCTATACTAGATGAGAGTCCTAATTAAACTAGGATACAGGAGTAATTAAGTCCTCCGAAATAAAAAATTCTACTTTCAAGCTAAACAATTTCTTTGACCTTCATATATGTGAGGGGATTTGTGAAGATTGTATTATTTTCAGTTGGAATCACGAAATAATTTTAAGTAAACAATCAATTGAATGGAACTCATCACTATACATCAACTTCATCGACTATGAGAAAGCACTCGATAGCATGGACAGGAAAACACTATGGAGGCTTCTTCGACACTACGGTGTGCCTGATGAGATAGTCAACATCATACAGAATTCTTACGATGGATTAAACTGCAAAATCGTGCACGGAGGTCAGCTAACAGACTCGTTCGGAGTGAAGACCGGTGTCAGACAAGGTTGCTTACTCTTACCCTTTCTCTTTCTCCTTGTGATCGACTGGATTATGAAGACGTCAGCATCTGTAAAACGGTATACAGTGGACAGCCACGATGCAGCTGGACGATCTGGACTTCGCAGATGACCTGGCTCTTCTATCTCACACGCAAAACCAAATGCGAGAGAAGACGACCAGTGTAGCAGCAACCTCAGCAGCAGCAGGTCTCAACATACGTAAGGGAAAAGCAAGATTCTACGATACAACAAAACATGCTCCAACCAAATCACGCTTGATCGAGATGCCTTGGGGGACGCTAACACCTTTACGTATCTGGGCAGCAGCATCGACAACCAAGGTGGATCCGATGCAGATGTGAGGGCGCGGATTGGCAAAGCAAGGGCTGCATTTTTACAGTTGAAAAATATCTGGAACTCCAAACAAATATCAATCAACACCAAAATCAGGATTTTCAATACAAATGTCAAGACAGTTCTACTGTATGGAGCGGAAACTTGGAGAACTAAGAAAGCCATCATCCAGAAGATACAATTGTTTATGAACAGTTGTCTACGCAAAATACTTCGCATTCGTTGGCCAGACACCATCAGCAACAATCTACTGTGGGAGAGAACAAACCAGATTCCAGTGGAGGAGGAAATCAGGGAGAAGCGGTAGAAGTGGATAGGACACACACTACGAAAATCACCCAACCGCGTCACAAGACAAGCCCTCACATGGAACCCTCAAGATCAAAGGAAGAGAGGAAGGCCAAGGAACACATTACGTCGAGAAATAGAGAAAGATATGAGGAGAATGAACAAAAACTGGAAAGAAGTGGAAAGGGAAGCCCAGGACAGAGTTGGTTGGAGAAAACTGGTGGGCGGCCTATGCTCCATTTGGGGGTAACAGGCGTGATAGACAGACAATTGAAAATCCAGAAGCCGTGAACGGTCGCTCTGTTAAAACATGGAACTCCTCACTAGTGCACACCCATGATCCTGCGACCCGGAACAGAACTCTGGGTTTTTCAATTTCCAACGTGAACGCCGAACCTCCAAACTACTGACTTTAATGTCCAACTTTAATCAATCCGTGATATCTCTCTCATATATATATATATATATATATATATATATATATATATATATATATATCATTGAATATAATAATCACTTACAGCTACTAGATTTTTTTTACCCATCAATGCTACACCAATATTATTCCATAATATTGAACTTTCGGAAGATTGTTTTAATACTGATCGATATTTATTTAATGCCACATCATAATCTTTGTGCAATGTAATAATTATACCAGCTAATTGATTTGCATCAAAATGATTCGGTTTTAACATAATTGCTGAACTTAAACATTCAAATGCTAATTGTTCTTGATTGATTTGAAAGTATAATAAACCCAGATGAGATAATAAATCAGGATCTTCAGGTGCTAATCTAATTTGATTAAAACAATGAATAAAGTTTGCATTAATTTTTGTCACAGAAAAATTGTTCACATAGCTTGATTCATAGACAAAAATAAGTGTAAAATATTGTTTGAATAGTTGTCTGAGTCGGTGACTAAACCCTAATGATTACTTACTTACTAAATTATGCCTCTTACCTCCTTGTGGAGAATAGGCCGTCGACCAGAATTCTCCAACTAACTCTGTTCTGGACTATCCTTTCCAGTTGTTTTTGACTGCTATTTATTCTTTCTCATTCTTGGCTCAAAAAAAACGACTGATAAAATATTATATCTCTCTTCGTTCAAAAAATAACGACTATCAGGAAGAAGCGGTGGAAATGGATAGGACATACACTACGAAAAGCACCTAACTGCGTCACTAGACAAGCCCTCACATGGAACCTTGAAGGCAAAAGGAAAAGAGGAAGGCCAAGGAACACATTACGTCGAGAAATAGAGAAAGATATGAGAGGAATGAACAAACATTGGACAGAACTGGAGAGGGAAGCCCAGGACAGAGTTGGTTGGAGAAAACTGGTGGGCGGCCTATGCTCCATTGGGGGTAACAGGCGAAAGTAAGTAAGTAATCAATTTCTGTTCAAAATTTCGAATAATCTGAAACTTTTTATTTCAATGCTTTTGTAACACTTGTTTTGGTAAATAGCTCTGCACAATAAACTGTTTTGAGAGTATTTACTTTTGATGCTGATTTTGTTAGCCTTAATAGACATCAAATAGCTGAATATAATTGGTCAGCCATTACCACCAAGAACACAACACAATCTGATGCGACAGATGAATTCTACTGTAGATAATCAGTTGCGAAACATCATGCTTCGCTCTCTGTGCATGCAATCATACTACAACTTTTCTTCTCACTACCACTGTTTTATTCCAGGAATTTCTTTATACCAATTCAATAGAAAATACTTGGGTTGCAATATTGTCTGATTCTGTTGTACTGAGTATACTTAACACTGATAGTCAACCAACTATTCAATGCAGGTATGCAAAAACTTAGAATACAGCACTACTCACACATAAGTTTTGGGTTAAAAAGCATTACAATAAATTATACATATTATACATATAAGAACGAGAAATATTCAACGTACAAGGTTGCTTTTTTCAATGTTTCAATAGCAGAATTTATTGAGCTCTTTTCTAATTGAACTTTTGCTAACCATTTCAATGGTTTAATGCTTTTAGTAAGTTTACTAGACTTTTTAAAACACTTTTCAGCCTTAAAAAAAAATAAAAATAAAAAAATTAAAGAAAATTAGAATTATTCCTTATTGTACTCTAACCAATTCAAATTGTTTTGTGTAGAAATAACATACACCTTGTCCAAATGGTATTTCCTGACAAAAAAGGTATAAAAAAAATGGAATAAGTAGACGATTACCCAATCATTTTGATTAAGTTTTAAGGCATCCTGATAAGTTTCCAATGCTTCATTGTGATGACCTTGTAAATTCCTGTAGAAAAAATGAACAAACATGGTAAACACTAATTCAGATGATTTAGTCATATTCATGTTCAAAGTGATGCTTTGAAAAGCAATGATATATAATAGTAGAGTTATTGATCGAGGTTGGTTAATCAGTTGATTGAGAAAGTACTGGGAATATTTCATTATTGCATATGAATAGCTTCAGTTCAATTATTAATAAAACAGTATTTGTCATTAAGCAAAATGGATATGTACTACTGACGAAGGATTCTGAGAGACGATAGCCAATCTCAAGAATTTGTATCGCAAATTATTCGGAATGATGCACATAAAGAATACTTCAAAGATCGAAGTAAACTATAACTAAAAACTAGATATTATCACATTGGTTACTATGCAGTAAAAATTTCTTAGAAACCCACACCAAAACTGACCACTGGTAAAGATTAATTAAAATGGTTTTATGAATATTTTAACTCTTTTTAAATGTTTTACAGTATACAGAGAGTTGTAACTAACGAAGATAACTCCATCAGAATGAGACAGTAGTTTATCAGTCGTACTACATGACATGAATGTTGTATTAAGAAGTTAATCACAACTGTCAACTTGAGCTAATGGTTTGCTTGCCCCATTATGACGATTTAATCAGGGTAGGTTAGAGTGCAGTAAGGCCAAGAGCAGAAAAGTATAATGTGTTTTTTCATTGAAATACTAGCATATTAACCAATTCTGCTTCATTCAAATGAAACAAGTGGTTAGAAAAGATCATCACTCTAAGGAAAAAAGTTTTACTTTAATTTGTTACTCACTGGTAAGATCTAAAAAGAAGGTAATAAATCTAGGACTACTATCAACGAGGTCACGTGAATTAGCTGTCCTTTAAGATTTGTAGTCACATTCGCTAGGTAGACCAGAAAGGTGCTAGTTTTGTTTTCATTTCAGTTGCTTGCAGAAGAGATACTCTCTTACGGTTTGGACAACCAAGGAAATGAAAATTAATCAAATACATTTGACAGAATTTGAAATCATCTCGTTTAAAGTGGACTCTCAGGGTGGCTTAAACAAGTTGCATATTTGTGCAACGGTCTGCATTCCTTATGACTGAATTACAAACTGACTGAAGTTGATTATATGAATCAGTTGAATAAATGATTTTAAGTTAGTCATGAGATTTGAAAATTCACAGGCTTCGTACTGTACGACATTAGTGATCACAGATAAAAAGAAACTAATTGTCCCATTTGAGATAATCATCATTTGATCTTAAATTGTACAAACTCTCTAAAACGGGGCCCTCAATAACATGATGAAATGAGGTATGAAGGTAATAGGTGAGTTTAGGACATCATTTAGTGAGTTTATGAATTATATTTAACGTGTATTATGATGCCCAACTATTGAGGACTCGGATGTACAATGTTCACTGGTGCAAAGTTGAAAAACGATAAGGGGTACAAAACCCAGATCTATCATTATTCAATAAGGTCATGTTTTGCCATTAGAGTTATGGTGATAAGTGTTTTTACACATTGAAATCATCACTCAATCATTGTTAGACCATCACTAGAAACCTGGAAGCAATGGACGGCCACTTAGTCCTGGTATGGGACTCTCACCAGCAGTGCGCATCCACGACTCCTGCACCCGGGACCCTCCGTCTTGTGCGCGATATAGCGAGTAATAACTTGATCAGTCGGATTACGAATGGCATATGAAATTGATCTTTTTTCCTAAAAATGTGTGAGACGTGTTCAGATCCTTCAAAAGATTATAGATGTCTTGTTGTAGTGTGATAAATGTGCACACATATTCAGTTTCATACAAATATGACTGTGCATAAGACATGCAACATATAGTGCATTCATGAATCATTTTGGTTTACTTTGGGAGTAGGATAAATCTCTATCTGCAGTGTTTGCGCCTATTCTCTGTTATATTTGGTTGCCATGTAGATTTGATCTGAGAAGCAACTAAGGGAATTGGACTGAGCGTTTATTTATCAAACTTATAAATAATCCTGACTGATATACAAATATCCTAATTTTATTTAACCGAAAATATCTACATGAAATACAACACCAAATGACACTTACAATGATTTTGAAATTTGTTTTAGTATATCAACCGATTTAGTATTATGCTTTAAACATTTGAATAAATTATCCAAAGACTGTTGTACACACCCGTTAAGTCGATTGATAAGACTTAAACAATACTGATGATAATCGGTCAACATGTATTGTCCATTTGTAGAATTTTGTATAATGTCTGTACATTTGGAAAACGCTGATTGTGTATAAAGAATATGTAGTAACCAATTCATGCTTTCAACTGGTCGAATGTAAAAACATTCTTTGGTATTAAGAAGTGAATCTTTCAAAAATGAAACAACTCACCTTTATACATTATGTAAATTGATATAAATTAGAAACTTTTTTTTTATTAAACAATAACTAAATAATGCTAAGAATATTAAAAGATATTATGAGATCATATGCTAAGATGAAGTGGACTGATAGGAAAAATGAACAGACAGAACGAGTGTTTGTTGACTCATTTTTAGTAGTGAGTGTCCTAAAAATAAAAAGAAGGAAATTATTTAGAAAGCTTTTTCTTATTGCGTATGTTATCACAAGACTGCTTTAAAAATTCATGTACGTTAACTTACTTGGAACTGAATTTGTAGAAAATACTGCTTCTATCAAAAAGAATTTGTCATTAAAAATACTAACTATGATGTCAGATAAAATATTTACCCTCTACATTAAATGCTCAATAATCAGTCAGTTAACCCATCAATAATTGAAGAGATCAGCATGGCCAATAGACAAATCAAGTCAGTCAGTCAGTCAATTACAATGTGTAACTTCTCACATACGTACATCAGTTCAGGTTGCCGTACCGCATTAGCACAGAGACGCAGTTGTCAGTTCAAATTCCATTGTAGTAGAGATAGTAGTAGTATTAGCGGTAATGGAGAAGATTAAGGTTCGAAGATTTCATTCAAGAAATATAATTCAGTGAAATTAATTTAGAAAGAGAAAGATAAAGGTGATGGGGAATTCAGAAGATTAGAATTTCAGGGAACCCAAAGAGTCGGTGGACCTGGGCAATGGCAAACGATTTTGAGCCATGTCATTCAAAGTCTCTAATCATCGGTTATTAATTTTGCATTTCGACGGGGAGAATCGCACCCCGAATTAGCTTGCATTGTTGCTTAGGGTAGTCAGAAAACACTGCATTTCCTCAGCGTCTTCACCAAGTAGAACTATGTCATCAACGTATTCTAAGTCAACAAGGGAGTCTCCTGGTAGTAGGTCAACTCCTGAAAATTAGATGAGGAAAGTGTTATCAATGTTTATGAAAAGGTTGAATAGGAATAGTGAAGGTTGACAACCTTGACGAACTCCACTTAAAGTAATCAATTACGTTGTAACTGACTGACCGACTGAAGTAATCAGTTCCGATGAAAGTTCTCCATAAGCTTTAACCAAACCAGTAGTGTTCGAGTAGAGAGCCTGTACAAGCTTAATGTACTTCTTTCGTATTCCCTTCAATAATAGGCACTGTCATAGAACCTCACGATCAACAGGGCCAAAATGTGAGTCTCCTGATAGAGGGTCCGCCCCTGGAAAGTCAGACGAAGATAATGTTATCTCTTATAGCATGTATATAGTAAAGTGGACTGCTGGGATAGCCATCGAGAAGCCACCCACCTGAACAACACCACTTGAAGTAATGGATTCCAATGACAGTTGACCATAAGCTCTAACCACCTGTAGTGTTCGAGTAGAGAGCTTGTATAAAGGTAATGTACTTCTTTGGTACACCTTTTTTAATGACAAACACTTCCACAGAACCTCACGATCAACAGAGCCAAATGCCACTTTAAGGTCCAGGAAGACTACTATAGCGGCACGCCTAAATGTTTCTGTGTTCCAGGACTTGACGTAGTGTAAATATGTGGTCCATGCAGTCACATCAAGGTCTGAAACCAGTGTGGTTTTTCAGAGTCTGCCCTTCTCGAGCTCTAGTTAGGCGTCTTAGTATTGTCGAGGCTAACATTTTAGACACTATATCAGTTAAACTGATTCCTCTGTGATTGTCACAAGAGCACTTTTGTCCTTTCTTATAGACTGAAACAATCAGTGTTTGAGACCAGTCAGATGGGATTACGCCCGAACCCCAAATTCTACCTAAGATCTCAATCAATCTAACTGCTAAGACTAAGCCACCATCCTTGAGTATCTGTGGGTTGAGCTTGTCAGACCCTGCTGCTCTCGCTCGCTTCAGATTTCCTACAGCTTCTTTTTCAACTAAACTAAGAGCCAAACGACTTACATCAATTAGCCATTGAGATTGACTGAAATGTGGCTGAATGTCATTTGAACTGCTCTCCAAAATGTTTTGTCTGTCTGTCCAATCTCCTGTATTGAGAGTGAATAATAGTCCTGTCTCTATCTGAGAGAGTCTCGCTAACAGTCAGATCCCCGTTACCACTTTCTTTGATAAGTCTGAATAGTTATCTACTATTATCTATTGCCGCTGCCTTTCCCGTTTCCCTTGGTCTTGCTACTCACCAATGTTCATGATCAATGCGCAGGCTTCTGTTCAGCTGGCGGTTAAGATGAATCCACATTTCATCATGTTCGGAGCCAGAGGGGATGAGTTCCCGTGCATCTATCAGGTCGGCAGATGCTACTGAGATTCACGGCTACTCTTTGATCTTATGGTTTACCTTACTTGCAGATATCACTGCTGTTTCTACAGCTTTTTGAACATCATTCCAAGCTTCCTCAGGATGAGTCTGACTAACTGTTTTCCTAGTTGCTCCTGATATATATTCTTAGCTATGCTATTATTACGTAGAACCCTAAGAGGTTTCCTTGCAGTGTCGTTCCTATGTCCAGTAAGCCGCAAGCAAATACGCACTCGCATTAGAGCTTAGTCTGAATCTAAACAAGTGCTCCACAATGAGCGACAGTCTTCAGCAGAGCCTCCCCATCGATGGCTTATAGCGATGTGATCTAGTTGGGTCGGTTTTAGGTGTGGCCAAGTCGAGATGTTTTACTTACGCTTCAAGTTAGTATTTGCTAGAAATAGGCGCTTATCGGAGCATAGCTGCAGCAGACGGTCGCTATTATCTGCTCTTTGAGCCGCGACGCCATATGATCCACCCAGTTGTCTTTCCTTCTCCCTTAGTCTACTTACTTGAGCATTGAGGTGACCAGCCACTATTAATATATCAGAGCGTCTAACGTTTTGAGGAGTTCTGAAAGCTTTCTGTAAAACTCATCTTTTACCTCATCTGAACTGCAGTCAGTGCGAGCGTAAACAGAGACAACAAAGAGGTAACGGCGAGTTTCCATCTTTACGAGTCCTTACTGTCCTGTTTAGTCAGACAGCGCATAGGCAACTGTCCACTGGGACCCAGTCTCAGGGAGCTAGTTCTACCTTAGGACTTACTACTATACCTACACCAGCGAGACGACGGGAAACAGCAGTGTGGTCTCCAAATATACGGAGCATAAACCGATTTGGTTCTTTACCTGGACAAGGTAAAACCAAATTATTGATTCTACTCCGATCGTTTCGGAGACTCAGCATACATTGATAGTGCGGGATTCCAGAGTCCTAGCTTAGGTAGCCTTTTGTCCTATTTGGCACAAGGTTCTAACATGAAAGGCATCAATATCTAGTGTAGGGTGGGGCTTCAGGAGACTAGGAATAACGTTTCGTGAGCTCAAACCGTTCGTATTGGCGGTGCAGTGTGATAAAGAATGTGAGAAGGGTCAGTCGTGGCGATAAGAGAGATATTATTGGGTGTAGGAAGGATTTGAATGGGACCAGTTCAGTCTCGTGTGCTATTACAGGTATGAGAGCTGCCCACACGGCCGGAGTTTCTTGAGGGATTTTTAAAGGAAGGTGGATTAGTGTTGGTCTTAGTGACCTGGGAGCGTGATCTCAGAGTCTGAGGGACAACTGCTTGAGGCCAGTCATGCACGGCCTTTTCATGAGACATTTTGAAAGTGTTAGCTATGCTCTTCAAGTGGCCTTATCGCTGGAGATGGAAATCCATGGGGCGAGCTGATGTGTGACATTTTATGGTCGACCTTTACTAACTCCTTCCTTCCTTGTGTGAAGGCAGCATCGCTGCAGATGCTGGATGTTCGAGAGAAACACTTTACTGCTGTAACACCGTTCTACAGTCAGCAAGTACAACTTCTCCTTCAGACCCTGGGTTGCTGCTTTGAGTCTTACTGTTCTCCAATCGACCTGCCTGGTATCGTAGAACCTACAGGTACATATGATCCAGCTAATATATCTCGGCTGGGTGATCGCGATATTGAATCCCGAACGCCACGTCAAAGTAGCAGCTACGGTCGGGACTGCTCAATAAGGTATTATCTTTAGAAAAATTAGGCGATAACAGAGGTCAACTATGTGAAAAACTCTTTGAAGGGCTCATTACTTCAAAGTGACCCGAGTTTTTCGATTGAAGTCATAATTACTGTAAGAATAACATAAAGCCAAAAGGATTGTTTGATAATTGTGTTAACTTATAACACAGATTATGAGCAGGTATGACCTAAATGGGGACGAAAAGAGTGGACTGATACAAACGTGGTTTCTTTTGAAACAGATCAAACTAACTAAGCAACTTCAGATATTGTAAAATAAAGATTCCATGACCATGGTTTGACGTTTTCTTCGACAAATAATGTATTCGTTATTGCGTTGACGGATTATCTTTCTCAGCAACAAAACAAGCTTGTGTTCACAAAAGATCGGAAGTATAATAAGAATTGTATGTCTAGAGAAAAATATCTGCCTTACGGTCATTTTATTCTTTTTGAATAACAGATTTGAGCATACAATCACATATTTTTCTTCCGAATCATGTTATGAGCTATGAAAGGCAACACAAAACAAATTAAATGAATCGAAAATTTCTGCAAACGTTTAGTTTTTTTTTCGATAAGATAAGTAGTAAAACATACTCCTAGTTACAAGACCATTATAACAGTTCATGGTTATCCTTCTTCCAATAAATAACTAGGTCGGTAATTTTTGTTCAGCTAGTTATAATGACTAAAAATCTGCAAACTCAATAAATTTGTATAGACAGTTCTAAATCGTGGCACGTCTGGTGGACATCTGTTGGTAAGTTGAAACTTCATCAGTTGAGGTGGTTGGGACATGTGTTACGTATGCTTAACCACCGATTGCCTCGACGAGCGATGTTCTGCGGTGAAAGATTAGGCTAGAAGAAGGCTACGAGCGACCAAAACAAAACATGAAACAAACCCATGAAGTCGGTGGCAACTGGACTGAGCCATGTTGGTAGATGTGGACTACCAGGTTGGGTTCCGAGAGACATTAGTAACCGATGATTAGAGACTTTGAATGACATGGCTCAAAATCGTTTGCCATTGCCCAGGTCCACCGACTCTTTGGGTTCCCTGAAATTCTAATCTTCTGAATTCCCCATCACCTTTATCTTTCTCTTTCTAAATTAATTTCACTGAATTATATTTCTTGAATGAAATCTTCGAACCTTAATCTTCTCCATTACCGCTAATACTACTACTATCTCTACTACAATGGAATTTGAACTGACAACTGCGTCTCTGGGCTAATGTGGTATGGCAACGTGAATTGATGTACGTGCGTGAGAAGTTACAAGTTGTAACTGACAGACTGATGACATGTTGTTAAATTTAAATAAGGAAAACGTTCAAAGTTATCTGTAGGGTACTATTTTTGGTCTATTCATTTACGTGAATATCAAACCAAATGACTCCTTACAAACAAACCAGATTCTTGGCAATATAAAAGCGCTTGCATATCCACTGTTTTTACTTTGGCATTGTGATCATCACACTTACGTATATACTATTCTTACACAAAATCGATTATTTCTAGCAAATAACTAATTAACTGTATTCTGTATGCATCTGTTGGTTAGCACATAGTTATCCTTACATATAATGCCAAATTTAAGTAGTTTTGGTGTTGTTATTGAGTTTATATTAAGCAGCAAATCCTTTATATTATTAGAGACATGATTAGAATGTTCTAATCAGAAAAAATAACCCTTTGTATATTTTTAAGGTTTTCACTGGAATATTGTTATCGTTTAATTTATTGACTACATCATAGTAAGGTCTCAGTTCATAAAGTAGTCGGCTTTCGAATTGATTAAAACTACGTCGTTGAAGTTAGCATGAAGCACAACCAGAGTTAGGGAACGTGTGAAATGGCTCAAAACCAATCAGGATGGTATATACTTTTTCAGCACTTGTCTTAATTTAGATCTTCGTTTACAGTATTTCATGAATAGTTTTGAATTTTGTTTCTTGGATTATATATCAAATACTTTTAATTTATCCGTTAGAATTGCTTAACTCTTTCCACTTTTGATAAAAGCACTGATATTGACCAGTCTATGCACTCACTTTTGGTACTGTTCTTAGCCTGAACAACAATCCCTTTATTTTCTTTAAAAAAGTAGACAGAGCTTCGGATATAGAAATCCGAAATTCTAAAAGGAATTCTAAATTTGAAAGTATCTAACACAATTCGAAAACAACAGCTCGTTAACTTTAATATACGTAAAATGGAAACTATTGGGTTGGTAACATGTGAAGTCGTTTAAACAAATATATATTGATGTGACTGGCGGTAAAAGACCTCGATTTCTCGTTATCACATCTTAGAGCAGCAGCAAAGAAAAAACCTACAGAACGACACTAATTCCGACATTATGAAAAATTTCTGTTGGGTTTTGCCAAAATAACTCCATCCCATCTGGTTAATTCAACATGTAAGAGAGAGATATAAAAAAGAATAATCAGTCCTGTATTTTCTGTTCATAGCGAATCGAAAACATCGTTTATTATAGGTAGTGGTTGATTTTCAATCTACGCATTATAATACAATACATTTCTAAATAAACAAAGCTCCCATGGAACTTGAGTCGTTATAACTCTATACCTCCATCTAATAACAGCTGACTACTCAAGCCTATGTTTCAAACCGTACAAAAACTAGTATCAATTCGTCCACAACTGGCTCATCGTTTCCCACAATGAGTAGTGAATTACTGGAGTTTTATACCAGAGTATATTAAATCAGTCATTTTATTTTAAAATTTAGGCTGTAACATATACACCAGTAAGACTTGGGAAGAATGTCTCTTCACATGTCAATTTACTAAGCAAACCTACCCGCAACAACCTTGAAATTTCAAAAGTAGAAAAACTAACAAGTGCGAATGCTATGCGTGATGATTGATTAAAACATACTCCATATCTAGTATCTTTATCACGAGCTGGTTTCTTCGAGCTGACTTCTTGTTTTTTCAGAGCAGTTTCATGTGTTTGGTAGCGTCTAATGGATGGGCATCTAGCCACTCGGCTGTTTATTTCTATTCAGTTGTCAGTGGTTTTGTAACTTCAGCCTTTTGGTTGGTTTGCGTTTAGCCACAAGCGGTACCTTGTGTGCTAAGGGGATGTGAGGAGCAGGAGCGTATGAGATTATCTGGAAGAAGAAAGAACAAGAGAAAAAGATGGGCCGTCGGCTCAGTGAGCAAATAGAGTGCACATACATGCAATATACGAATAAATAGACAGCAACCAGATATAAAGCCACTTTTTGTCTAAGACAAACTGATAACGGAAACTAGGAGTTGATAAAGTTCGGTTTCAAATGCGTTTTGGTTTATGGGTTTGAATGTTCCTCAATTTGAATTAGTACGTTCGTTTCAGGGCGAGAGAGTTTCCAGATACCAGCAGCTATCACCTTACCAGGCTGGAGGTCAGTTAGTTGCAATGTGTGGAATAATAAGGAGAAAATTCTAATGCTAATAAGAGTAAGATTTCAGAACTAAGTAAATAATGGATAATTTAGTTTATTGATTGGTGGTGAAGTCTAGGCAAGGGAGAGGAAACAGAGATACTATGCGAGGCAAATTAAGTTAGTGATCTGAGGAGATAGCAGTGATAAGGACTAGTAAGTCTCAGGGCATGCATCTGGCACAGCTGGTCCACAAGGGAGATGATAATTCGTAAGTGAGTAGATGCTTATCAAGTCTCTTAGATCTGTCCACTGAGGGGGCTGTGATCAACTCGACTGCAAGAACATTCCAAGTTGTGACTACTCTTATTGAGTAGAAGTGTGCACGAACCTGAATATTCGCTCTCTCATGCGCAATTTTTCGAGGATTGCCTCAATGGGAGTGGTGGTGGTGGTGATGCATCGCTAATATGCTCACGTGGGGATGGTTTGGTGTACTCAGCATGTTGTACGCAATAATCAGATCAGCTCTGATTCTCCTGTTACTCAGAAGGAATAATCCCAAGTGCAGGAGTCTATCTTCATCTCTTTTAAGTAGAGTGGATGCGACGGCATTGTGAACATCAAGGTGTGGGCCAGCGTATGTTTCAAACAACGTTCAGAATAATTTTTAAGTGAAGAGTTGCGTTAACCTTGTCTTCGTTCCCCACGTACTTTGGACTGGATTTTAGGCTTTCGGTGGTTCTTAGACCGCGACAGTACTCTAAAGAGACACTAGGTAGCGGACTTGCCTTGCGGGCGTCAGTCGTTTAGGTCATGTGAGACAGAGTGTTCATAAAGTGAAATTTAGACTGGTTTACTTTTAAACAGTTTCTCACAACGGATTTGTCAATTGATATAAGGTCCTTTTGAAGCTCAGTCGGATCCTCTGCGCTTCTAATGAACCTCCAGATCTGTGCATCGTCTCTGTAGATCAGTGCCGGGGAGATAACTGTGTCTAACAGGTGGTTAATAAATATCAGGAAGTGAAGTGGACCTGAGATGATCCCCTGTGAAACTCATGATGTTGAGACTCGCCAACTCGCAAGCACTCTATTTGCCTCTACAAAACTTTCTATTCTCACGGTGCTTTCTGAACCAAGGTGGGAGTGGGTCAGTGAAGCCTATTTCCTCAACCTTCACGTGGAGTACTGTATCAAAGGCTTTCGTAAAGTCAAGACATATAATGTGCACCGGTGTTTTTCGTTCCGAGCAGGATGTTCAACTCTCCCATGCTATGAGAAGATTGTATGCGCACGACCTGCCTTTCCGAAACCTGCATTGGGCTTCATGGAGTATTTTCTCTTTATCCGTGTATTCCCTCATCTGTTCGTTCACCAGCTTTTCCATTACCTTTACTAGTATTGGTAGTAATGCGACCTGTCTGATGCTTCTCCTCACTTGATTGCTTGCTTCTGTGCATTCGACCGAAGTCATTGCTTTCTCTGCTCTCGTTCAGCCGATAATTGTTGCTACTTTCCAGGTGTAGTTAGTGTTGAAGACCTCAGTCATATATAGTTTGGTCAAATCGTCGCTATTTGGACCTTTGAGAGAACACACATTCATTCGTACTTTTTCATTTTCTCATTGATCTAAAAAGATACGTAGGGTTTACCTGCATTTTGGCAGCTAGCTTCATCTGAAAAGCATCTCCTATCATTTCGACCTTTGGTGTTGCATTTTTTCCCAAATTCGATTAGGAATTACCGTCGGAATCCATCAGTGACCCCCCACTTTTACTAAGGTCTCCTTTTCCTTCGTAGTATGTACTGGGTCGGGGCGTGGTTGACTTTGAACACCACAAAAAAGCAATTGCCTTCTACTCTTAACGAGTTTTCCTGTCGTAAACCAAAAACAGTGAAGAAGAAATAATCCATGTGAAGGAGTATGTTTTCTACCAATTTCGTCGTATCGAAAGAATGCCGAAATTGTAACAGAGAAATTGGGCGAAGTTACAGAGCGCCAGAAGCAAGATGGCAATAAAGCAAGTGGAAAGTGAGCGTACGGAACTGTGAATAAACAAGAAGTTCAGTAAGACAATCACTGATACAATCGGTCATAATAATGAATGTTTCTATTCAACCAATAGCGTTTTCTTAGTTAAATTGCAGTCACTACAAGAAAGGGTTCATTGCTGTGCCCAACACATCTTCTTCTGTTTCTGTATATTGTCTCTCACTGTTTGCCAGTGGTCATCTACTGTTAGCCTCCACCATACCCTGTAACCACGGGAAATGTTGAAGATTCGCCGTCATGCGCGTATATTCTGCCATAATGTAACAAAGTTAGGGTTCGTTTTAATCCTGCAGAAGTGTTCCGTTTATGACCATGTTAAACAAGACTGTGCTACGGTCCCGACTTCCTATTGTTGTATGGACGTGAAAATACTCTACCAGAAGCTGATCATTTGTTAACGAATAATTCAGTTTTGATGATTTTCCTTCCTTAGTCAATCTAGTGGTGTTCAATCAGCCTAGAACTTTTAATGGCTGCACTAAGTCGCCTTCTGAGCCAACCAGTGAAAGTTGTATCCTGTGTGCTAAAATTTTGAGATGGGGTGTTGAAATCGCTCACTAAAAATATTTAACCAAATCGAAGGGGTGGCAGTAGCTCTAGTGTCTCAGGTAGTTGATCATTCAGTCTTTTGTACTTGCGGAGGGTCCGTTAATCCCTCCAATCAATAGTTTCGCACCGTTTGTCTGGAAAAAACATCAACAAAAGTTTGTCACCTCGATTAGTTTGGTGCCGTGAAGTCTTTCGGCTTTGAAACGGCTGTTAATATATATGGCCACTCCGCCTCCTGTTTGGTGTACCCCATCGCTTCGGAAGAGTGTCATGCCTTGCAAGCTCACTTCGTCGTCTGCAGTGTCACGGGATAGCCATGTTTCATTTAGCATTATGATTTTCAGGAACATCTCAGATCACATATTCCTGATTTCTAACAGCTCACCCCTTAGTCTTCATACATTGCCAGAGAGGCACTTGATGGTTCGTCGCATCACCTGGTTCACCTGTACAGCAAACTGCCGTTGTCGCATTTTCAAACAACTTGTTCAAACCGAATTGTTCAGTTCTGTGTGAACTGGCATCTCGAAGGTTTTAGCCTGTATTGTGCATTCAATGGGAGAGAACATTACCCTCGTGTATTTTACAGTGGGTTACTAATCGAGGTCAACTTTCATGAGTGTGAACTTATTTTGGCCTTTATGTTGTTGTCTCACTGATCAGGGTTCGCTCTCACAACACCTAATATGACTAGAGATATTGTTCTTCATGCTGTATCAAGCCTTTAGCGCCTCAGTCAACTCTTCCCGATTTCCGAAGTCTGCATCCATCAGATGTGGAGGCAGCCAGGAAATACTTGTTGCCATGGTGGTGCAAAAGCTCATGATACGTGATAGCCGTCGCCACCGTCGCACGTCATGTGCGTTAGCTTCATCTAAGCAACCACTAACCAGCTCTCGCAATCCATGAACTGCCATACTGGTCTATTCGTAGATATCATGCTTATCGAGTCTGATTCAGATCGGAAAAAGAATTTAATTGAGGGTCTCTGGGGTGTGAGGAGGATTCTGCCGAGTCTACGGCTACCCTCTACGGAGGGAATTTCCCTTTAGCAGCGTTCAGTGTTTCTGTTCTATTGATTAGTATTAGTTTTCAGGTATAAATATGTTGGCATATATGTATGGGCGTGTGATCAGACTGTTCAAAATGCATAGCATAATTACATCATATTATTTAAATCAAATTCGTCTTCTGATAGTTTTTTCATAATTACTTGATTTCAAACAGGTATATCTAGTTTGTATAGTCGAACATGGGGAGCTGACTAGGAAACTGTAGTTGGAAAATGTGGAATAAATAGTATGCAATATTAATAGTGTATGTGTGCTTACTGGGACAAAATCATGTAAGGTAAGACTTTGGGATCTTGATGGACTCTCTGCACCCACAATTTAGTGTGAAAACAGAATGTAAACGATTTCGGTCGCTCTCTCTGATTTACATTCAAACAGCACTTTACAGAAGCGTTTAAAAACGGTGAGATGGATGATAGAAGTGTTTTTGTCATCTAACTAGTCACTTAAAACTTAATGTGAAGACAGACCTGGGACTTGAAGAGTTTAATTTATGGTATTATTAATTATTACAGGATTTCCAACATTCTACTACACAAACTGATTTCAGCTTCTGCAATGAAGTAATTAAAATTAACAGAGCTTGCCCAATCTTGTCCATATATTGATTTTGTTTGTAGTAGATTTGAAATATGTTCATAGTGTGGATGTGTGTGGGTGTGCGACTGTAGAATTTTCCTGAGTGAAAATTCAATGAATATTCTTTTGAACTCATAGCGGCTGATAACATTAAAAACGTGTTCTGTATATTGTAATCAAACTTTATTTGAGATTGAGCAACTGATGATTGAA